AGAGATACTCGGTCAGATTTCCTCATGCTGCCACAAATGATACTGCAGTATTCCAAAATGGGGCGAGTGAGGATTTTGAAGAGTTCTACGCTGGCTGGGGTTATGTGGATCTTATGCAGTAAATTAGCCATTGATTTTCTGGCCCTAGTCAGTTGGTATTCCACTTGTTCAGAAAAGTTAAGATTGCAAGAATACCAGATTCCGAGATCTCGGGTAGACAGCTATACACAAAGGTGTTCGCCGTTGAGTGTAATTGATCCCTCAGGTATCGAACAGCCGCCATACATGATGCTAGATTTTTCGCCGAGAACTTCATCATCCAAGTGTCACACCAGTTCTCAAGGGAGTGGAGGTCTTCTTGTATGAGCAGTAGCGTATCTTGAAATTCAGCTCATCGGAATTTGTAGACTATCCTTATCTCATCTGCAAATAGGAAAGGTATCGCCATGACTGATAACCGCACTGATGTCATTGACGTAAAGCAAGAACAATAACGGACCAAGTACACTCCCTTGAATAACACCACTAGTGATTGGACTTGGTGAAATGTGGTGGTTGGCAATGGTAACTACCTGAGAACGGCCGCTAAGGTATGACAATAGCCAGCCTAGGAGTGGGTCCTGAATTCCAAAGAAAGCAGTCTTTTTTAGCAGACGTTTATGGGGCACTCGATTAAATGCCTTTTCCATGTCCAGAAAAAGAAGTATGCTTGCGTATCCTGACACATTAGAATCCAAAACATGGTTTAGTTAATGTAATTGACAGATTATGCACGATCGTTTGTCCTTGAAACCATGCTGTGACCTGTCTGTTAGCTCTAACGAATTGATGAATTTTATCACAGCATTCTTAATCAGTTTCTCTCATATTCTGGCTACTACAAAGGTTTCATGGATTGGCCGGTAATTATTGATTTCTTGTTTGGAGCCACCCTTGTGGCATGGGAGGATGAGCGATGTTTTCCACTGGTCTGCAAAGTAGCTTGATTCCAACGAAAGGGTAATGCTCAGCAATAGTAACGGCATGTCAGACCCTCCCAGTTTTATGACGGTAGGAGGGATACCTTCGGAATCCAGATGGGAAGACGATTTAGTGGAATTCAATAAATGTTGAATAGCAATGATAGAAACTTCAATGTTACACAGGGTGTTGATTGTGTGCACCTCAATGCTTGCATTTAACGGGGTCGTCTCCAGTCTCATAGAGGTAGCGAAAGATGAGCTAAACGCTTCGCAGATGTCGGTTGAATCATGAAGGGACTGTCCGTTTGCATTAACCAGTCCATCTATCAAGGGGGAGTGGTTATTAATTCAGCGACGCAGAAGTTTAACACGTTCTTTCGTCTTATATGTCTTTCGTGGGGCCATTTGTTCTTTGTGTATACTCTTCATCCTCTTTACGTGCTTTACGCTGTCACTGATGTTGTGCAACTGTAAATGCAAGGTGAAATTGCCCCTCTTTCTGTATCCAGCAATTAGTCTTCTGTGTTTCCGGCTGCCTGAACGCACGATTGCGTCTTTTTGGACACCTGTGACCCCCTTGTGTTGGGAAGTAAGGACAGCAATGGCTTGATGGACACGATGGTAAAAATAGTCCAAGGCAGTGCACATATTGTTAAACAGAAAGAATGCGTCCCAATCTGATGATCGGATTAATTGTTGGAATTGCTCCCAGTTTATCCCCTGTGTTGCATCTTGCGAAATAAAGGCGTGTTTAGTGGCCAATTTGACGCAGAAAGTGAGTCGTACCATCTTGTGGTCACTACCAGAGTGTTTGTCTAATACCACTGTACGTGCATTTGTGATCCCCAAAGTGAATATAGGTCGAGTATTCTGCTCGCTCTTGTTGGCTTAATAACCTACTGTATCCACCCGCCAATTCTGAGAGAGGAAAAGACAGCTGTATGTGTAGACGAGGATGGCTGAGAGGACCAGTTACTCTTTGATAGGTTGAAATCACCAGCAATTATCTTCTATCTGTGTGGCAACTCAGCAGCAAATTCGAACTGAATCGACAATGGTAACACTTGTGGTTGACGCAGTTGGAGGGTTGTAAACACATCCGAGTAGAATGTGAGAACCGGTTCCTGAGAAGGACGACCAAAGATATTCGGGAACGCTTGCTAACTGTGGATGATCAAGAAGTTCTGCTTCAAATGTACTGTGTAGGTATATCATGTATCCAAATCATTTGCCTGTTCCGCGATCTTTTGGGAAAAGCTGATAATGTGGAATCATTGAGGTAGAGTCTAATGTATCGGTGGAGCATCACGTTTTAGTAAAGAGAATTGCTTATGGGTCCTTGATATGCGCAAGCATGCAGTTTGCTGTTAATAGATCTGGCATCAAGTATGAGAACAGAAAACGGACTATTGGCTGTGGTGTCATCGTGTTGCGGTTCGTTGTTAGACACCTTGTAATCTGGTACTATGGACGCAAGAGATATGAGTGGGGGTAGTGGAGTCGAGTCTATTCTTAGCAGGCGTGATGATATGGGTAACCTCATTTGTGATTGCTGTGGACATGGAGGTTGTTGAGGGAGCGAGTCTAATTTGCCCTTGGCGTGGTAGTTGGCTAGCCGAGTCAACTGCAAAAATTGCAGAGACAGTGGGAACAGGTAGTTGGCTTCTGCGGCTGTGCAAGGGGTGGGAATGGTTGCGGCTCCATTCTCTCCTGTACTAAAAAACCGTCATGCCGAGAGGTGTTGGGAAGGGTTGCACACATATGAGACGGGATGGGAAGTCGCCTTGTTTTCATGATATGGTTTATTCTATCATTACTGTGCCTGATTTTATGGTACGCGAGTGAATTATGGCGAGGGGAATCCAAAAAACATTTATTTCTGCTTTTTGTAGGCACAGGATGTCGCTTTATATAGTGTTTGTGCGACGTATTTTGGTAGATCTTATTAGTTTCTACCGTGCTCATCACAGGATTAAATCTTTTGTTGGAACCGGTGAGTGGCTGTGGGTTTTCTACATTATTGGATTGACTTCCCATGGGGGTTCTTTGGGCGTTGAGTCCAGCTTGCGACACCGCTACAGCGCCTTTGATGGGCAGCACTTCCCAATGTTTAGAAGTTAGTCCATCATTTGTGAGCGGTGAATTCAATTCAGTTGGTTCACAGGTGTCAAGATTGAGGGGGTAGTAGTTGGTAGTAGTTTGTTTAGTTGACATTGCAGTATCGTCGGGAACAGTGGTTACCGAGGTCCTTATTATATGAGGTGAGCTGTCGCGATCCACTTCAATGTGCCCAGTTGCCACATTAGATAATTTACCTTTTTGAGCTTTGGTCTGAGAACACTTAACCCAAGTAGCCATTTGAGCTGATGATTTTGACGAAATATCACTAAGGAATCTTTGTAGAGGCGTGCGGTCTGATTTAATTACTACGTCTTTGAATTCGGTCCGTTGGGCTATGGTGAGCTGATTACTCAACAATCGGTTCCCGGATTTCTCAGTTGAAAATTTAAAAACAATCGAGCAGCAGTGTTTCGGTGATTTCTTTTTCAGACGAAGGCATTTGCATTCAATCTCGGACATGTTGTGGGCCCCAAGTACTCCAGTTTAACTTTGCCCAAACAAAGTCTAACAGGAATGTTAAAAACGATCACATTTCTCAGTCTGTGCATTCGTTCATTTACCTCAGACGCAATTGAGGTGATTAACTCTCCTGCCTTTCCCATTTGGGCTAGATCGAGGCTTTCCCATGGGTTACTGAGATAGTCTAATGAAGCCAGGTGATCTCGGATTGGTTCGACGATGATCACCATTTTTCTCATCTCGGAAAGTTGAAATTCCAAGGAGTTGACCTTATCACTGAGTTTTGAAAGAAGAGTAGCAGTGGGATTAGGAATGGCTCGCGGCTTGTTCGGGGCCTCAGTTTTCGTTCACCTTGTTCAGGCGGTGTATGAAACACTTCTTTTGGCTTGTCGAGTGAGATCTGGCCTTGTGGGTGCCATAATAAAATAAACCTTACTAATGAGAATGCTAGATGAAGTAGCTATGGAAGATTGATGAAAATAAACGGCTCAATCAAAGTCTTGAGAGCTTGATCTATGGGAACATGTAATGCAAAATACGCGAATGCGATACAAACCAACCAGTTTTTAGTTTTGCGCTATTGGTTCAATAGTTTGTTGCGGTTGATATAATTTCAAATAAATCCAAACAGTTGCACTTGCCAAGGTTGGTCCTTGATGCCAGTTCCGCCTGGGGTCACGTGACTGCTCCGCACCGGTTAGATTACTGTAGAAGAAATCCAAGATGGCGGACACAGACGGCAGTTAGGACAATCAATGAGATCTCCGTAAGTAGCCGGAGCATATTCACCAGCTTTGCATATATTGTAAAATATACCAAAAAATAGTGGTGCACACTTCACACAGAAAGCACACGTGTTATACAGTAATCCGGAAGCAAAACTGGAATCCAGCTATATAATTCAGCAATTTGCGGCGTCCGTGGGTATAGCCAAATTGGTTCGATTATTTCTCCTCTATACTCACTCGCAATTGTATTTTGGTGTATTTTGCACTAAACAGGAAAATTGTTGCTTTAATGAACTGGCCAGAAATACGGTCTCTGACGGCATAGATCACTGCTCTTCCCTTTATTAGGGTGTGCTATATTTTGCGAGCCTTGGTAGATCTTTGGGAGTTCTTTCGTAGCACCATACCCCTTATCCGAACAACAATCATGTCGGCCCGTAGCCTAGAGGTAGTCGGCCCATAGCCTAGAAGTAACGAGCTTGTCTTGTAATCTTGCGGCGGGGATACAGATCCGCGTAGGGGTGAGTGTCCTCGCGGTATACAGCCCGCGTGCGACTGGTGGTGGTTGCACAGCAGCGAAGCGCCGTTACGGCGTACAGCTAACATATTATTATTATTATTATTATTATTATTATCCCTCACGTAGTTCTCTTGTCATATTAGTTATTGCCCAATGAAATTTTGGCCTGGCGACAACTCGTTTTTAATCGCTTTATTAACTTTTCCATAGACCCGACGGCAATTAAGATGACAAGCAGTGAAGGACAGTATATCTCCGTTCAGTGTGATGAAGTGAGTTAAACAAATCCGATTTCGAGAGTGGATATTTTGTACTGAATTTCGTCCCCAATGATTACTCCAGTAATAGATATCTTTAAAAACTTTCGAAATCACATTCTTTAAAGAGAAATATCATCGTTTCTCCATTTTGGAAAAGGAACCACAACAATATCGGAATTTTCTTTCAGTATTAGTGGTAGGTACGGTACCATATTTAGTTTCCGCAGCTCATGGAAATGGCATATATGGTTATGTCGATGGTGATGACGATACTGATAGTAATGATGACGTGAAGCACGTTGTTAACCACCTAATGTTTACTTTTATACTACATGAAGAGACACTAGAGGTTGTGGAGAGTTTTGTCTACCTGGAAAGCTACATCACTGCCGGTGGAGCTGTTGGAGACGAGATTTCGATGCGTATCTCAAGAGTTGGTCTCGCACTTGTGGCGCCGCCATGACATCCTTCTATCCCCCAGAATGCAGGTTTATTGTACGACTGTCCGCGCTGTACGGATTACTAGACCCAACCTGTTCTTGCGGTTGAACTGCGCCGGCTGTCTGTGTTCAGTCTTGCAATCCATTGCTGATGTGCCTTGACTTAACCACATAAGCAATGTGGCGTTTAGACAGCGCGCCTTAGGAGGAGGCAGTTACTCGCTCTATAAGCTCATCTCACGGTGTTATCCGCGGTAGCTTGAACACCTATCGCGTATGGCCATTCAGCTTCTTCCGCTTAGTACGCTGTTTGCAGTTGCTGGACAGCACTGGAGGAGTGAGTGTGATGAACAGTCCACAACCTTAGAAGCAGCATGAAAAGACTAACGAAACATTTTGACCCGATCGTTTGTTCTCGACTCCCTGCCTGGGGTCCTAGAGATGCTGGATGTGGCTGGCTCGAGACCCTGGTGTTCATGATTCAAGACCGACGTCAGTGCTTTACGTGCTTTTCGTGTGTTGCAGTGATCCCTCTTCGCTACTACAACAGAATCTCAAAGGGAGTTTAAATATCTTAATTATAAAACTAGACACAACTATTTCTCAGTTTACTGCCGCTGGCTACCAATGAAGTGGTTAGTATCAGATTTGTAATCCCGGATCTCTGCATTCAAAAGAATTTTGTCTTAGCATTACAGCTTCCGTGACCGGAATTCATATGCGAATAACCAGAATCAACCCAACAGTACCACGTGTCGCCAATCACCTGATTACACAACGCGCACCAATGGTTTTGCTCTGTGCTCTCCCATGGGCCTAACCTTTGTTACTGTATATTTCGGAATATTAGAATGAAAACAGTTACCTGTGTAAAGTGTGTTACTTTATTTCTCGATCAAGATAGCTTAGCAATTATTTGCCTTCATCGCTTAGAGAAGCCAGGGATCTTAAAGATATTGGCCGAATCGACTAAGGTTTACTCCAAAGGGAATTGCGTTCACATTGAGATTGCCGGCCCTTGGCGGAAAGCACAAATCTTCTGCTTGTCAACCCAGGGGGCCGGGATTCGAAACTGCGTAAGCGACCGGAGGACCCTCGCGGTATTTATAGCTCTCGCAAGACTGGGTGTGGTTGCGTTGTAGCGAAGCATCCGACACGCCATGTTGTTGGTGCCTACATGTTGACAATCCATTCACACGACAAGTGCTTCAAAGGGACCCTTCCAAGAAAGAAACTGTTCAATGAGTCCCGTGGGATGACCAAAATGAGAACCACAAAATGGAATAAGAAAACATGGTAATAAAATGAAAATCCTTTTGGTGAACTCACCATAGTGTCCACCATGAGGCGCGTATAAAACCGCCTACGTCGACCGTGCAGGTTAACGCTTGTTGGTGCATCGTTTGTCAACTTATCTCGTCTCGCGTTGCACACGGGCTGTATTTCGCAGTGTAAATGAGGTAGGGAAACACCAAGGTGTTTTTCGAACACACAGTATGTGGGGCAAAACTAAGTAACTATGGGTGGTGTTTCATGGTTGGCTCATGCGAGGAGAGAAAATGTGCAGGAGTAACCTTCTAAGTTCACATTGTTACAGAAAATGGTTGGGTTTCCTCAAATTCTAGTACGTCATCATTATATCGCGACTTAGATGCCGATATTGGGCACTGTACCATCTTTGGGTCCTCAGCCCCAGTTGACATGGAAGGTGGAAAAATTATTTGATGCCCTTTCTCGCCCTGGTGTACCGTTGGCTGGGGACCCTGGAATTCATAGCTCAAGGCCGACATCATTTGCGGATGTGTTCCTCTGGGTGTTGCGATGATTCCCCTTTTATTCTCTGATAAAATTCTATCAAAAATCACAAAGACGGTAAACGGGAAACTGAACAATACTTCGTTTTCTCTTTTTATACCAATTTTACTTTGCTCTTTCGCCATGGTTTCCATTGCATAATATTTATGTCCCAGATTGTGTAAACCATATATATATATATATATATACATATATATATATATATATATTTGGTTGATGAAACTGCTTTGGTATCAAATGTAGAATAATGATTTTAGTTAATAGGAATCGTTGTGCTTTGTGCCACCCAGCAAAGCAGCTCAACAAATCACACGTGATTTTCAGGCTTCCTGTTCTAGTTTCATTCATCACATTCTGCCCTGTTGTTTTAGTTTTATTTCTGTGTTAGATTGTAAGTTCACTTTAGTTCTTTTCATTTGAGTGACATAACAGTGAGTAAGAATTTAAACTTCAAGTCTGAGTAACTATGATTTTTCTGGTTCCTTAATAGGTAATTTAGCATTGACCCGAAAGGCTCATGCACATAACAAACAGCCGATCCAAACAGCTGAGATTCTCTAATGTGTTGAAATTAAACTCTGTTTGGTAAAGCTGTCTGCAGTCTTTAGATTTCCCTGTTAATAATGCACATGAGTAGATGATGACTGAAATCATCATCCACGATATTGCATCAATGTGCGCAGATATTCAAACACCTTTGGCAGCTTGTAATACAACCTTCGCTGAGGTCGGATCGATTGCGGATGTTTAAAGTGACATGAATCCCCTAGCCACAACAGTTTGTCTTTAAACGGAAGGGCGAACTAAAGGGAATCTCCATGTGTTTCGCTGAATACATGGTCAAGTAGCTTCCATATTAGATCCGTTCTGTTGCACCCTCTGGTTTGTCATAATGATGACTGCGCCCCATTCCATGGCATCTAAGTTGAGAATAACTGCGATGGTTTAAAGCTCCGAGCAATATTTGAACATAATCTGTCTCCAAATTAAATTCACTGTCTGTTCCACTTCTTTACCTGCCAGGAAATAGACAGACATGCGATGCTGAAAGCACACAGAAAAGGAGCGACGCAAACTAACTCGGATGATGTACCGTTGCACATCCTACATCCAAGCAGAGCCCGAGTGATTTTTGGCCACTTGCACGACGTGCACGAGTACCTGCAGCAGTTGATGTATCAAGAAAGTCAGTCTTTATTAGAACTGTCATGGCGTTGAAATCCCGGTTGCTAGTAGTTTGATAGACGTTGGTTAGGTCAACCAAAGTGTGAGCTGCCTGTATTTTACTTAACCATTCCACCGGAAATTTTTAGTTCCATAGTGTCACGTGCCAACAAGACTACTAACTGTCTGCTTATTTCAGGGTAACAGGTCACTTTAAGAAAGCACTTACTTGATCCAGCTATTAGATGGCTGTGAAGAAGAAACCTGAATACAGAATAGTAGAAGTTAGTAAGTAAGTAAGTAATCTCAGCGGTCTAGTAACTAGACATAGAGCCAATAAAAACCATGGAAATCAGTGGATAGGAGAGTCATTGCGTTATAATCGTCGTGGCATGGTAGTTGAAGGTGGGCAACACACTTCAGCTAATATGCTGCAAGAAAATGGAATATTTTGGAAAAATACAGAACAAAACATTTTTAGTTTGCTTGTCACACGCCGATTTTGCTCTTTTTTGTCATTTTCAATATTAGTAAAATTAAACATGTGAATCAATACAATACTGTACACAATTCTTCCATTGATTCCGGTTGCGGGTCATGTCTTCAAGAGTCCTAAGCCATTGGCACTCCTCATCTTTGGGTCCCCATCCTGGAAGACGTACGGATCCAACAGCGGCTAGACAAGACGTCAGCGATTTCATGTGCTGCCGCCAAGTGGAAGGCTGACCACCACGCGGTCGCTTCCAGCCAGGTCCTTGACGAGCGAATAGAGCGCGACGCGGTAGACCCTCAGGTGCCATGCGTAGGACATGACCGAGCCATCTTAACTGGCGCAACAAAACCAGTTTGTTGAAGGAAATACTTGCATTCCCCAAGATGCGACGTCGAACGTCATTACTGGTAACTCGATGTTGCCACCGGACACGAGCGATCCTCCTTAAACAACCGTTATCGAACGCAGAAAGACGACGCATGTCTTCCACGCGAGTCGGCCAGGACTCGCTCCCATACAACAATACTGAGCGAACTGATGCGCTGTAAACTCGGCCCTTTAGTGAGAATGAGACGTCGCGACGACGCCACAAGTGCCTCAGATTGACAAATGCTGATCGAGCTTTAGCGATACGAAGCGAAACTTCTTTGTTGATAGTGCCGTCAGCAGAAACACAGCTCTTAAGGTAGACGAAACTATCTACCTGTTCAAGTTGTGCACCTTGGAGAGTGAGCACGGGAGCAGGTGAAAGCCAATCCTTGTGCAGTACCCTACACTTCGATGGGGCGAAGCTCATGCCATACTTAGATGTTACAACCGCCAACCGATCCAGAATGGGTTGCAGACCCTGAGGATCGTCACCAAATAAGGCGATATCATCAGCATAATCTAAGTCGGTCGCGCGCTCACCCGGTAAATGCTCTAGGCCAAAATGTTAGAAACCTCCTAGAGCATTCGGCAGAACGTCTTCGATTGCGAAGTTGAGGAGGAATGGGGACATAGGACAGCTCTGTCGCACACCGCTATTGACAGCGAATTGCCATAGACCCTCACTTTGCCGGACGTATGAAGGTAAAGTGCTCGTAAGATGGCGGTATATTTTTCTGGCACCCCGTTCTTTAGTAAACAACGCCATAAAGCAGGTCGATCGACGGAGTCAAAACCAGCACGTATATCTAGGAATGCAATGATAGTGGGCTTGTGATAAATGTGGCGATGTTCGAGGAGCTGGCGGAGCGTGAAGATTTGATCCATGCATCCGCGGCCAGGACGGAAACCAGCTTGTTTTTCACGGTAGTATGATTCACACACTAGGGATAGTCTGCGAAGCAGAATGGATGCCAATAGCTCAGAGGCAACCGAAATAAGACTAACCCCGCGACGATTTGCACATGAAGTGCGAGCTCTTTTCTTGAAAATCGAGACAATAACGGATTCGCCCCAAGAGGAAGACACTTTATCTTCATGCCAAATTTTTGCGAACAGCGCGGTCAGCTGGTTACTGGTCGCCACACCACCGTACTTGAATAGCTCCGGAGGAAGTCCGTCTAAGCCGGCAGCCTTGAAGCTCTTTAAGCGTCGAATCTCGGGGCAGACTTCCGCTTCAGTGGGTGGATTCAGTGGGACGAGCCAGGGTGGAAAACAAAGTGTACAGCATGTACTGATGGATGCTGGAGACCAGTTGAGCTGCGAGCGAAAGTGCTCGGCCCAGCGGTCCATACGCCTCTGTTGGTTGGTGATCGGAGACTCATCCACCTCACAAATGACCTCACTGCCACCAGGCTTCCTGAGGCCAGTGGACCGGATGAGTTGGAAAAGCCTGCGAGTGTTACCAGTGAGGGCAGCAGTCTCCATCTCTAAAGTACGCTCAGACCACCATCTCTCGCGATCCTTGTGTAGGCTTTGCTTGAGCAGCCGGTTGGCAGCACGGCGCCGCTCGTTGCAATCTGATTCCGCCGGGATATCTTTGCGGCGTTCGAACAGCTCCAGAGAACGAGCAGAGATCCAAGCCTTCAAAGGCGTTGAGTTAGGCCGCAGCATGACTGTCCGGAAATGGTCAGCGCTTTCCGTATACAAGTCCAGTGCTGTTCCACTTCTTGCGGTGGATTGCAACTGAGTGCATATGTCACTGAAGACTGATAGGTCGTCTGAACAAAAGAATCAGTTAATCTGTTTACATCAATATTGCAGTGCTTCGTGTTTCGGGATCCTCTAAAACGCACACAGATTTTCGCGCAGACCAGAGCAGGATTTGAGTCAACGAAGGTGGACCAAAAGGACCTGCAGTCCAGTACGCTGCCGCGCCATCTGAAGTAAATTGCAACGTGATCACTTTGAGACCAAGGTTGTGTTGAAGTAGGGGGACTCCACGTTGCGGAACGCTTCTTCGTACGCCTGAAGCTAGTGCTCGAAAGAAACAGACGGTTGTCCTCGCACAATGTGAGAAGTCTCTCTCAGTTATCAGAGCGGTTCTCATCGAGCGCGTGATGACCACCAAGGTGGCGTTCGTATGGTAACAGGCGGCCAACCCGTGCATTAAAATTCCCAGCAAGGATAACGACATCCGATTTTTTAACATTAGTCAAGAGCTGTTGTAGATCCCGGTAGAATTCGTCCTTGACCGAGTCGCCACTGCAGTCAGTTGGAGCGTACACAGAGATCACAAACAAGTTGTGTCTCTCTTCGCGGTGCCTGTTGATTCTACATGAACCCCGAAGCCGAACTGCACATAGTCGGCTGTTAATCGGGAACCAGTCCAGTAGTGCCGCCTCGGCCTTGCCACTCAGTGCTATACCTACACCAGCCAAACCCGCTGAGCTTGCTTCTGGATCTCCAGAAAGACGCAGGTGATATCTGGCTTCGTGGTCAGTGGACGATGTCAATGTAAGCACAGTGCTGGGATCTTGCAATCGGGTTTCTGAAAGACAGCAGACATAAATGTGTAGGGAATCTAGGGTGCGCGCTAGACCGGCTTGCTGTCCAATCTGCATGAGTGTCCGGACGTTGAAGCACGCCAGACGGAACGAGGATCGGGGACGAAGGAGAGCCATAGGTTGAATTCCTTGATCTGCGGAGCAACCGGAATCGCAGCCAGATTGTTGAACAGATGAGTCGGGTAACCGAAAGTGAGGATTGTTAGCAAACAAACAATTGGCGTGTGATGGAGTAGCGTGAAAGTGAGTAGCAGGAACAGTAGCTGATGAGCGCGTTGTAGTGAAGTCCATGGTTTTGAGAGAGGACGTGATACTACAAGGTTGCCCAAGCCGAAGTAGGGAGTTGACTTAGGGGACTCCACCCCGAGCCTTTGGCTAAATAACCTACCCGCAAGGCAGCGGGGCGAATTTAGGGAATCGCGCCCATTGGGAGGCGTTGACTGAATGATCAGCTCATGCGTCTTTGTTTGGTAGATTACCAAACAGGGGCCCAATACTCCCCATGAAGTCAGCACAATTGCTGGAATACAATGCCCCACGGAGGTGGAACATTGTCGCCGAACACTTTACTGGAACGGGGTACACCCGAACCACCCAGCTGGCACCACGAGGAGGTAGTTCGGCAAGCCAGCCAATTAACGTTAGAGAAGAACATAGATTTTGCTCATAAATGAACGCCGTATTTTACTGCACACACCGTGCCATCACGAGTTTCTTGCATCCGCGACTGAATCCACGGTTGGATGACGCACTCCACCACTTACATTTTTGTTATTTGACGCTACTCTCCATCCTACTCTCGGGAAATACCTTGGATTTACATTTTTCCCCTACTGAAGCTATGGAAACGCTCGGGGTGCAGGGCTACTGAATCAAAAACGACAAGTCCATTATTTGGACAGTAAAACTACTAACTGCTTTTCTCATTAACGTTTTTTGCTAACCCAACTTACCACCCAACGGGGCTTGTAAAACAATGCTTCTTAACCAGTAGAAAATCATTGTTCATTCTTCACTGTCTACTTGCGAATTAGAAAAACAACTTGCACTATGCCATATTCCCAGTTATCCGCTGTCGAAAGCCACCACGATTTCGAAACATCTTTAACCGGTGCCGTGGCTGTTGGACCACTGAGCATATAGCACACGTTGGTAGCTCCTGGCAGATACAGCATTCTCCTCACTTCAGGAGTCATTGGTCCATTTGGCCTTTGAATGAAAACAATACCCACAACTCAATATGATTACGACGGTATACTTACGACTTGGATGGTGATGCGCCACCGCGATGGAACCAAGCGGCCACTTCCAGCCAATCTTGGAACATTGTGTAGACAAGGAGGAAGGGCCTATAGATCGCTGAAGAATGCTTTATCAGATGGGCCCGTCTGTTTAGCACAACATTATTATGTAGCTCAGAGGCTGGGGACACACTAACAAACAGAGCATACATCTTCCTAAACAGTCGACGAATGTGACGAGGCACTCACAAGACAACCACGTTGGTACATCTATTTGGTACTCTTTTTCCCTGGCTGCGTTCATACATTTTGAGAGCAGACTAATTTCATGTTTACAAATAAATAAACAAAGAAATTCGCATATTTACTGTCAAACGGTATACGGTCCTATAAACGGGAGCAAGCATTTGTACAGTGAATAGGTTTCATGTTTTATGTAACATAGATTCATAATAGTAAACTAAATTTAAAGAATGGTGTTTCGGATCATGAATTTTCGCTCGGGTCCTTGACCAGGTAACTAATATGTAAAAATGT